GTGTGGCCATCATAATTATTCTGGCAAACCTTTTCTATAAATGCTTGCTTTCTATTAATTACTGCTCAACCAATAGGATTTTGAGGCAAGTGGAGCTCAGATTCGAGTCCTCCAACCCAGAAAATTTCGAAGTATCATCTCTGTGATCAGAAGAGAGAATCCTAATTGTGATCAATTAGAGCGTGGACAAAAACAAAATCAATTTCCTTTTGATTATCTCTGCAATAGGTGACTTAGCCTTCTTGTTTCTTTATGTTTTATATACTATTTTGTAGCTCGTGAAATTCTCTATCGAATGATATATAATAGTTGGGATTTTATTTGACTATGATAGGAAAATTTTTTTATGAAAACAGAGAAGGGTCTATCTTCTCATAGGGAAGCATAGGGAAAAATGACTATTTTTGCAATAACTCAGCAATGGCTCGGTCAATCATTCTCATCTTCGAACTCGACCGAGATATTGTTAAGACTAAACTGTGTACAAAATTTCATCGCGATTGGACTCTTCTTTCAAACGTTATCGCATAAACGGCCGGACGGACGGCCGGACATACTGACCGATTCTAGAGTGTACTCACTTTTTGAGTACACAAAAAAGAAGGAAAAGAAGGATTTTAGGCGTAAATAAGGACGAAGAAGGACAGTCTAAAAAAAGAAGGAAAAAAGAAGGAAAGAAGGACCGCTGCGAGGTCTGTATTATTGTTGGAAAAGATATAAAATATAATGAAAATGCTATATTAAAAATAAAAAACCTACTTCAAACATATTGGAAAGAAGGTGCACATGCATGTCAAACATATTCAAATTTTCAATCACATCCACAAATTAAAGTATGGAGAGATTGTTTTACATCACTTGGTGTACCTGTCAAAAAATATGCATCATCAGTAGAAAGTTTATTAAAACGTGCTGTTAAACAATCTGAACCACGTTCAATTAATCCATTAGTTGATCTTTATAATGCTATGTGTGCTCGTTATATTTCACCATTTGGTGCATTTGATATAGATGATTTATCAAAAGATATTCCATTAGAATTACGTTTTACAAAATCATCTGATACATTTATAGCATTAGATGAAAATGAATCTAACCCAGTAGAAGAAAATGAAGTTGCTTATAGTGTTGGATCTCAAGTTGTTACAAGACATATTAATTGGAAACAATCAAAATATGGTTTAGTCAAAGAAAAAACAAATAATATTATATTTATGAGTGAAATTTTATCTTCTATACCACAAAATGTTTTAGAACAAATGATTGTTGATTTAGTTCAACTAATTAAAGATTTATTTCATGTTGAATATCGAATACATATTCTTGATGCATCACATTCATCAATTCAATATTAAACAAAATATATATGAAACTTGATCATCGTTTGGATTTATTGTTATCTTATATATTGATTATGGTTTTTGTTTTTATTTCTAAATAAAGACAACATTTTAAACATGAAAACAATTGATATTGATTTCAATAAAAGAAATGAAACTTCGTTTATCGAAGTCTATGATCTTTTTTTGACAAAACAAAAATTCATATGCAACTGATAACTATGCATAACAACGAAGATTATATCTAGATACAGTAAAACCTCTCTAATCTGAACACCTTCGGGACCAGTAAAAAGCGTTCATAATAAGAAGGTGTTCATAAAGGAGAGGTCTATTTCCAGCAAAAATCGATTTTTGGGACCGGCTAGAAGCGTTCGTAATAGCGAGGTGTTCATTAAGGAGGGGTGTTCACATATAGAGGTTTTACTGTATATTCATTTCTATGATTGTATGACTAGTACATCAGAGATTATTTTGAATAATCAAATATATATATATTTTCATTATTTATTAATATTTATCTAAATATATATATATATATATATAAGGGTTCTCCGAGTAACATTCCATCGGATCCTATCACAGTGAGCAACCAGGTGGATATGACCTCAAGTTATATTTTCCAAAGTTTAAATATTGGAATGAATAGATCTATGGTTAGTTTATTGTCTCCTGAAACTAGATTTCCAAAAACCAATTCGTAGCCTGTGAAACCTCATCGTCATAAAATTTATTTATAAATATTTAAAGAAAAAAAGAGTCCTAGATGTTTTCTTGAAATCTGACACTGCTATCATACCAAGCGCGAAGAGAAACCTTCATACTCAAAATTTTAGAATTTTCGGTCGTTGGATAAACAGGAGAGAGGGTTTTTAATAACGAAGGTATGTGTCACTATAAGTGTCACTATACGCCGAAAAACTTTTATAACTCATTACAGGGACCACATTTCGTTATGAAAATTTGAATACAAAGGTAACTTGATATGCTGAACACGACGGTATAATCAGTTTTCTGGGAAAATTCCGAAAATCGGAGAGAGTCTCCAGAAAACTCCTGAAAATCTCAAAAAAAGACTGGGCAGTTGCAAAAAAGATGCCTGAGAGTAACTAAAACCTGCTTATTTTCTGAAACCCAAGACATAAACTGAAAGAGGAAACTTCAGTACATCTTCCTACAACAAAAACTCAATTTTGATATTTTTTCGAAAAATATGATTTTTGGAGGGGGGAGGCCTTAAAGCCTGCTTTCAATATATTTTTTTTCTGGATAAACCATATCGTTTAACAATTTTTTCAAATCGATAAAGACTGTTTCTCTTCAACTGTTCCAGCTGGTTTAGTCTAGTTAGAACACTCGCACAGATAATTAATATACTGTTTCCAAATGATTTTAAAAGTTAATTTTCAACTATTACATATCACAGTTGGAAGTTGTTGCAACACGATGAATATTTGACTTAAGTTACGATGTTCGTTGTGCTATGAATAAGGATCATCTCCATCATATGACATACGAGAATCAGAGATGTGCACTGTGCTTAAAAAACGAGGCGGGAGCGGCGTAAAAGACGACGTAAATCTTAATGCAGTGGCGAAGACGGCCACCGCTCTAAAGTCTTTTCGAGTGACGGCACGACCGCTCCGCTCTTCGTCAAATAAGAGGGACAGAGTGGTCGCGCCGTCAAGCGGCCGTCTCACGATACCTGGAGCATTTTTTTCTTGATCTTTTCTGCAGATTTATTGCACTAATATTTCTTAATAAATAGTGCCTCATTTCTTGACAATTACTTATGACCAAAACTACACAATTAATAGAACCTTAAAAGTACTTCTTTTAACAAAATTCAACTAGACATACATATTGATATGTCACCGGTTTTCGTATTAATTTATTCTACACTTGAATTTGGGTAAATTTAAACCCAAAGTGAATTTAAATCTTATAGTTGTTTCGATAGAATTCATTAAGTTTTGAGATAGATAGACTTGATATCAGATTAATTTTTAATGAACATGGATTACAATTTAATTTACAGTAGACGACAAAAGTATTTTGCCACTTTTTATATTTTATTTATATTTGAACAAGATGCAATTATACTTATATAATTATATAGGCCTGAAATACAAAACATACAATATACAGATATATAGGACTAAATAGACAATATAGTTAAATACAAGAAAGAAATAAAGAAAGACAATTGAAAGCTGAAAATTTTATTCGCAGTATTTTGTTTTTCTTTTATATTGTTGTATATTTTTATATCGACTAGTAATCAATGTTATTTAATGCTTGTTATGATATAGTACAGACACTTTGTATATTGCTCATGATATAGTGAATTAAATTATTGTCATCTGCTTTATTATGAAAAAAGAAAATAAACAATCTTCAATTTTTAAAAATCACAAAAATGACAAAATTTCAAAGGATTTAATTACTCTGTCGGAAAATTAAGAAAAATCCTATAGCTTTTTGTTACATTACCAGTAATCACTTATTTTTATATAACTTACCGAGCGAAAAAAGAGCTTTTTGTCTTTTCGAATTGATCATTTTTGTGATTTTTAAAAATTGAAGATTGTTTATTTTCTTTTTTCATAATAAAGCAGATGACAATAATTTAATTCACTATATCATGAGCAATATACAAAGTGTCTGTACTATATCATAACAAGCATTAAATAACATTGATTACTAGTCGATATAAAAATATACAACAATATAAAAGAAAAAACAAAATACTGCGAATAAAATTTTCAGCTTTCAATTGTCTTTCTTTATTTCTTTCTTGTATTTAACTATATTGTCTATTTAGTCCTATATATCTGTATATTGTATGTTTTGTATTTCAGGCCTATATAATTATATAAGTATAATTGCATCTTGTTCAAATATAAATAAAATATAAAAAGTGGCAAAATACTTTTGTCATCCACTGTATACATGTTGAAATGATTATTAAAGTGAAGTAATAAAACTAACAATATCTCATAAAGAATGAGCGTGTAAATGATTTAAGTCCTTTACTTTATTTTTCAGCATTCGAGTTTTATTTTTTAAATTGTCGGTAGAGTTGCTTACAAAATATTTACTCTTAATGTCAAAAAAAGTAAAAGTAAAGTATCAATTACCACAGTTTGCATGAAAAAATTGATTCACTTATATGATAAGTGAACTTTTCTAGATAAATATTCCTACAGAAATTTATTTTTCTACAAAGAAACTATGTAAAAAATTTTAACAAGAGAAATATATCCAGTTTCTTGTACAAAGTGGAGATGAACATCTTGTTCCAAAAGTGAAACAACAGCGAATCTACGCAAAAAGTAGAAACATAAAGATAGCGATAAACACAAGAGTGACAAAGTAGACAGACAAAACTTTACTCAAATAGATTGATATACTATGCCAGAGAAACACACAATCAAAACGAACAGTATACCTAGTATGTGTGACGAAAAGATTAATAAAAAAAAGGAAAAAAGGTATAAAGACGTAGCCTTCAACGTGTATAATAACACTAAGATGTTCCAACAATTAAAAACTATTAGCAGTAGAATTTAATGCAATTTGGTTTTCTCTTAAGAGTAATTATTCTGGCGACACCACTTTGTGTTTTTACTTTTATTTTAACACAAAAAATACACAGATGTTGCCCGAAGACATTAAAATTGGCTTTGCTTTTCGAGAATCGACTGAAAGAAATTTTAGCAGCTAATATGATCTAGGCGGAGTCACCCGGTGGCCAATTTAGAATTGAGACGAGCACTGAGTGGCTGCGCCATCACTTCCCTTAAATTTTTTTACGGCGGCGCGGCTACCAAAATATGAGTCATATTTTACATCTGACCGCCGGCGGTGCACGTCTCTGATGAGAATCATTGACATTTACGAGAGAGAAAGAGAAAGAGAAAAAAATGTTGTTCATTCATTCAGAATCGAATTCGACTAAAGAGCATTGTTTTCATTTTCGACAGCGGTCAGATAGAACAAAAGAGTATATATATGTTGACATATATAAACTAAGAAGAATTGTAGGTGGACATAAACATGGAACATTCATTTGCTCAATTGATGGATTTATCTGATGAAATAGTTATGATTATTTTAAACAAATTGGATAATGTTGAAGTACTTTATTCTTTAATGAATGTTAGCACACGACTCAATCAAATTGTACAGGATTCCATATTTACTACTAAAATAACTCTAATGAAATCCACTGATCTTACATTAACACTACCTGATGCAGTGCTTGATCGATTTTGTTTGAAAATCTTGCCTAAAATTCATCATAAAATCAAATGGCTCAATCTCGAATCAGCGTCTATGGAACGTATTCTTCTTGTTGCTGACTATCCTAATTTACGTCAACTTGATATTTTTATTAATCATGAGGAACCTGTTCTCAATTTAATTGGTACGAGATCTTGATTTAATTCTTTTAATCATCAACTCAGAAAGATATTAACACACTTTTATTAAATTGTACGAAGATGAAATTAAGAAAAAAGTTTGTCTCAGCTTGTTTACTAATGAAAAGAGTTTGGTTACAGATGTTCTACGAAGTAATTAACAATCAATTTTACTTTGATTATAAGAATGAGAATAACCTCTGTTATATTCTTAACATAATGGAATATAATTCATCTTCTCATAAAAAACTTCGTAAAGACATAATGATAGATTTTGACCAAAACGATGTGAAACTTATATTATGGATAAATCTATTCTTGTGATTGAAAGCACTATAGCTGATAGAGTTACAAATATAAAGGAAAAAATTTTTATTTATGTTTTAGACAAATCTTCTCTAGATCGCATCTTTCAAAATCAGATTGTGACACTGTCTGTGACTGGTAAGAAAGGTCACAACGATGCAATATGAATGAATAAACGAGCAGATCTCTTTTCATATATCTTGACTATATTTACCAATATTCTTCATTTGAAATTCTATCAACCTACTTCATTTATATTCTTCAATCAACAATCTTCATCGTTTTATTCGACTCTAGTGGAATTACATATCAATGTGTATCTTTTCGATGATTGTCTTTATCTACTCGATGGTCGCTTGAATCAACTGCACACATTGTTTGTTCATGTTTTTCATATTTTTTCTCTACGATCAACTATCAACAATAAGGTAAACTATGCAAACAAAAAAAAAATATTTATTTTAAAACACTTATGAATTATTCTAGGAAGAATTAACTAATCTGAAATATTTTTCGTTGAGAAGTACTAGTGAAACATCTGTTTATGATGAAGTGCTCGTACCACATCTACATCGAATGTCGAATTTAGAAACGCTAGCCTTGTATCTTCCGATCAAATGTAAAGAAAGATTTATCGATGGAAATAATTTAAAAAAGAATATTATCAGCCATATGCCAAAGTTAAATGAATTCATATTTAATATTCGATCTATCATTCCACTTAACAATCAAACACATTTACTATCAAACGAAGATATTCACCGTACATTGACAAATTTGACAGATCATCAAGTTATTTCTTGTGTCGACTATTTTCCAAGTAATAAAAGTGGTCAATGTCATTTTTATACATATCCATATACAATGGTATATTATGAGAATATTACCAATAATTTTCCAGGTGAATTATTTAAATGTGTTCAATCTGTAACATTATTTGATGAACGTCCTTTTGAGCATACATTTTTTATGCAAATTGCTCAAGCATTTCCGTTTCTCAAAGAATTGACTGTAAGTAACTGGGAATCACAAAATCAGAATCTACACGACGAGAGTAGACATTTTCCAATTATTGAATATCCTCATCTTACTATACTACGACTTATCCAGACCCACGATGATTATATTGAAGAATTTTTACTTAATATCAAAACGTGTTTATCAAATTTTATCCTCTTGGTAATGGATTATGAACAGTTGCAGAGAATTACTCACAATTTTAAAAGAGATGCAACACGAGTCAATTGTGCTAAAGTCAATAGACTTTATACTGGGATTCGATCGGATCGACCAAAACACTTTAATATTTACTTTCCTCATGTGAAATAATTCTTATTGTTGTTTAAATAATTCAATAAATTAAATCATTAAGAATATTCACGATTTTAACATACATTGTTATAGTTGACAAAACAAGATCAAAAGGGAAAAAGAATTTATGTTTTATTGAAAGTAAACAATTTATTACACACAAGATGACTTGACATGTCAAAGAAAAATCATACATAGAAACATATACTTAGGGCATAACAAAAGTAGTGAGCCTGATATCGTATTTTCTTATAGACCGCTTGGAGAAATTATGGACTATTGCTCGGAACCATAGCCTATAGTCCTCAATAAATTTTTGTTTAAATTTTGACTTCATTTACATATCTCAGAAGTATACTGGCCACTAACCGCACCTCGATAGTATAGATCATCGTTGAAATATTCAATTTTTAGTCGGAGAACATCTTCTTTCAAGTGATGATGTTTATCTCACTGATATTTACTGACAAGTGTGGGATTTTCGATTAACATAATATAGAGTCATCAAAATTTCACGGTAGATACATATTGAATTATGCTACAAAAAAAAA